TCGATGATTCATCTTCATAACTGTTGAGTTATATTATCCAAATGATTTTCTGTAGTTATGGGTATGGTCACACTACACGGGTTTACGTTAATAATAAACACTGCGATGCATTGCTGATGAGTTGTTGTTACATCTTAACCTTCAAGATATTAACTGTTACGTTGTAACCAATAGTTTCATGTAAGATACTCAGTATAATTATCTGAATCAACTTTATTGTGATCGCGTTTGATAAAACAAGGAGGTAACCGTTTGATACTATTGTCAGTATCATTTATGGTCGTGAAGATGATACACCATCAGTTCTCTTTGTAGAATTATCTTCAAATAAAAAAAGTAATATCTCTCATCTACAAAGTGATTGATAAATGCTTAGCAAAAGTGACAAGTCTGTGAAACAAGTCTCATTTGTACACAATAAGTTTAGCGAGGAATAGGTAAAGTAATGTTTTATGGCATTCAAGTTGATAATAGTCACGGAATGATATTAGTTAGGGGACAACTAAAAACCTCTGAGCACTGAACAGTTCTTTCGTCGTACTATGGGGCTTTCCAGCAGTTCAGATTCATGACACTATATCTAGGATAGAGATCAGGACACCTACACCTTCAAGAAATCTCATCCTAAAGCATTTCATAACTGAGTACTAAACAGTTAACAGATTTGAAAGTGTGTAAGCAAATGTGAATATATCAAACTAGATATCATAGACAGAAAGTTCAATGATTTTGAACTTAGACTTAACTGTTCCAAAGTATTATTTGATAACGTTTTAGGTTCTTTTCCTGCTTTTTTTGAAATGATAAAGTATACTACTTAAACAAGATATTATTTTTGACAAAATTTAATATAAACATCAAACAGTTGGCATTGAAAAATAAACTTATAATTCATAATTGACAAAGACGACATATAATGAAAGCTATCACCATATCATTCATTCATATGAAAGTAGAACTAGGCATATAATAATGTTTACATATATCAATGGAAATAAAAGCATCACCTATGAAGGTATATATTTTTAAGGATAATATATATATATATATATATATATATATATATATGTATAAATTAGAGTATTATATGCTTATTGAATAGCGGTGTTATGTAGGTGATTTGAAAGCTTTCACAGATGAGTAGTGTATTTTAGGTAGTTTGCTTATTATATTATAATCAGTATATCATCAATAATCCTTTTGTGTTAGTGATTTGGAAGACTGGATAAAGAATGTAATTAAATTGTACACAAAACTGATATAATCTGGAAGTGTATTAGAAGCTATAAAGGAGTGAAAGATAGCCTTTTAATAATTAGAATTTTTAGGCAAAGTATGTTATGCAATCTTCATGTAATCGCAAATTCAGACAGTAAAATTGCTACATAAGAATCAGTGACAAAGACTAATTTTTATTAACTTAAACAAAACTCACAACACAAAGTTAAGAAATTAATCATAACAGGATTTAAAAATGTCAAGAGTGAAGCAGAAATCTCCTGTTTGTTAAATTCAAGTATTTCATTGGTAGAGTTTACACCGGGATGTTAAAATAATCAAGTATCACTTACTGCATGAAATATCCATCATTTAAACGGATAGTTATAGACTAGTTTTCACAAGAACCGAACATATACCTTGGCTTTTTAAAACCAAGCTGAGTATACAGTTTTCTCCAGTGACACAACCACACAGGTGCAATCACGTCGGTGGACTAGTCAGTGGACCTACATGAAATGTCCAATTAATTGTTCACTGAAAACTTGAAGCAAAATGAGAATTGGCAGAGATAGAGAGAGAGACTAAAAAATGATCTGGATTCAAAATTGCGACCGGAACAGGCTGGCTGGCTTCAGGAAAAACAAATCATGTGCGGATAAAGTCCCAAAGCTACGCTACGCATCATCATGGAACAGAGTATAGAATAGCAGTCAACTATCTACCTCACCTCAACGTCATCCATTTTTAAAAGGCCTTTGACAGCGTCAACCGAGAAGTAATTTGGAAACTGCTTCAACACCACGGAGTACCACAAAACCTTTTTAACAACACTCAACATCTATATGCCAAATGGTGCTACATGCCAAGTGATTCACCATGGAAAGCTCAGTGAAGACTCTGAAGTGAAGACATGAGTAAGAAAACATTGGCGCCTACAATCACCGATGATCCTGATGGTTGTGGTCGACCGGATCCTGCAAAAAGTCGTGAGGAGTGAGAAGATGGGCAGACGATGCTTGATACATGAGAAGACTCCAGAAGATTTGGATTTCGCCGACGACGATTTATGTCTAGTGTTGCACAAACTCGAAGATCTACAAGCGGAGGCTAACAAGCTGACAGAAGAGGCACGGAATAGGCGAATTCAAACGAAAGCAGAGTAGACAATGAAGATGAAAATATAAAAATAAAAAAAACATCGAAAATAAGCAGCAAAAACTAACGACGAAAAAACATAAACGAGGCGGTCACACCCAACTACACAGAAAGCATCGCTTAAATAAGTGGAAGCGGCACATACGAAGATGCAAAAACCGCAATCGCCAAAGCACAAAAGGCACCTATCACCGTGAAAAAGGGGGCGAAATCTACTACACTCCACTGTACTCAGCATAAAGCGTGAACAAGATCCGGATTTTCAACACTAATACCAGTCAAGTCAGTGCTTCTATGTGATGCTTGACAGACTTGGTGCTTCATGAAAAGCATTCCCAACAAATTGCAGACATACATCATCAACAGCTGTCGTCCACGCTCCATACTGACAATGAAGATCAAATGACAAGAAAGAACTGGTAACAAGGAAGTCACTGTGGCTGGCAACGGACCAACAAATAACCCATCGCCCAACAAATATGTAGAAGAAAGTCGAGATGCATTGGATTGCGCATACACTGAGAAAACCATTCGGGGACATCACGCAGCAGGCCAGGCCAGGCCAGGCCCTCGAGTCCAATCCAAATGGGAAAGGACGAGTTGGGTGTCCGAGGATGACATAGACGAGATCGTGTGAGGAAGAAACGAAAGGTTATGGGCAGTCATGGCGCCAGGTTAAGAAGACTGGAGAGAAAAGAATGCAATGAAGGCGTGATACTGAAGCCCTATGTTCCACTAGGAACCCAAGGGTCAAATAATGATAATAATAATAATAGTAAAAACAGACTACGTCTGTACACCTTAAATTTCAATACTCAAGTCTTTGAAGTATATCTTATTTCCCATTGTGAAAGCTCCTATGAAGTAGATCACTGAATGCAAATCAGGTATGGAAGAGTTTATAAACTCGTATAAGAAAAAGGAATTTCAAAGAATACTTAAGAAGAACACTATATGGCTAGAAGTAGTAACTGTATTTAGCGAGAAAAGAAAACACAGGAACCACTAATGTTTCTTTTTGATGGTATTGTGTTCTATGAGCTGAATTGTTTAATCGTAGAGCTTACCTTGTCATTCTAGAGAACAATACCATTGAAACAAATATTCTCCATCATCTCAGAATCCCACTAGCGTTAAGCGCTTCTGATTGTTCGGAAATGAGACAACTTCGTCAAGAGGGAGGCCTCCCCAAACGAACAATTATATTTTACCCATGGGTGTCTACGCCTGTGTGTCCTACCAACTACTGTCAGATACAAACCACCTACCGCCTGTCCAATAGGCTGGAAATTACTGTCAAGGAGTGGAAGACACATGATACAACTGATGTTCACCGATGCCTACTATACAATTCGGAAATATCAACAAATGGTAGGAAGCCTGAAGAGAAAGCTCCAGGGGATACTCACAATAGAACACTACAACGTTGGCCAAACCAAGCAGACGACGCAAAGAACAGAGAAGAAAACTTGTCAAAATCTCGAAACTTCGGGCATCAGAAGAGGAAGAAACGATTGACTGAGCAGTCAACTTATCCAAACAGTCCCTCATCACATCCGAGGAATTCCTCCTTCAGAAAGGGTTAAATCACATTACAGAAGAAGCCTCGGGACCAGAATTCTTCGCATCCCCACAGTTATCCCCGAAAACTTCAGAACTAAGCTCTGACACCCAACAGTAATCGTATTTATGACCAGGCGGAAGCGAACTTGCACTCAAATAACTAGTGAAGACCAGAGAGCTCTTAGAAAACTAAAAAATAAAAACAATGTCATCGTAATTCCAGCTGACAAACGGCGCACTACAGTAGTCATAGATAAAGACGATTACATCAAAAAGGCAGAAGACTTGCTCATAGACCAAAATGTATGTCAACCAATGGAGAAGAACCCAATTCAAAAGTGTAACTAAATCACAAAAATCTTAAACAAACTCATCAAAGCGGGACGAATTACAAAACAAGAGCAGTGGCGAGTGAAATCCAGTGAACCTGTTCTCCCACGTTTCTATGGTAGACTCTTCTTTCTAAAGTTTGTGCTGATTATGTTGTCTAGAGTGACAACGTAAGCTCCACGATTAAACAGTCCACCACAAAGAACACAACATCATCAAATTGTCCTCTTGAGCTACAGGTATTCTTCGTCATCTCAAAAGCGCTTGTGTATTTATGTACCTAGGCTTATGTCATATGCATACAATGAATGGTGCAAACTAGAGGTGAGTAGAATAAGGTTGATATATACAAGGTGTTGGTTAATAGTCAAGTTTTTGGTTTAATAAGTAACAGCTCATTTCACCAGCCGTTGTAATGTTCTCATTGAATAGGAACTTTGAGGGTAATCTACAGTCAGTCCAGTATATATAATATAAGAACTGATTGACAGACAGCATTAGATACATTCTATCATACTGAAGTTAGAAAATTTTAAAATATCACCAAAAACGTCTACTATTAGTTTGCTATGATTTGAGCAGTAATCTAACAGGAGAAAAGGAAAGAATGTGTGCATGAAAAAACTACTGGTAAGTAATGTTGAGAAGTGGCCTTAATTTATAAACTCTTTTTTAATTGTGTAGGTGTATGTTATGCGTGACTATGTGAGTAAATTGCTGTTAAACTTTACCTGTACTATTAATTACAATTGAATGACAAGAACCCGAACGACTTAATCCATTTTGACTTGGTGGTGATGAAATCACTTGATCATAATGATGATGATGATGCAATGGATCAACTTCTAAATGACATCCATTATGATTTGATAGTGATCTAGAGCGTATGCCTAAAAAAATTCATTTCATACATATATTTATGAATAATAAAATGAAGGATAGATGAAGGAGGGTCATGTAAAAATTCCTTGAAGTAAGCATAAACGCTAGAAATTCCAAAGATAGTTACTCCCTTTGAAAAATATAAGTAGTTGTGTTTAAGTAGGCAGCTTTGAAGAACAAACATCTCAGAAGGCGATCACATTTGATGCATAAGAAATAAGTAGGGTAAATATAACATTCTACTACTGACATTTCACAACAGGTACAAGTGTGTATATGAAAGCTGATAGATACTATAGACAGTGTGTAGACAGTTGTGTATTCAAAGACTGTGAATATAATGTTAAATTCAGGAATATTGGATATTGGTTCAAAATGAATTTGGAGAGAAAGTCACTTCATTAAAAGTTATCATCTAACTTCACTGAAAAGAACTAAAATCTCAAAAACTACTTGGAAATTCAGCTGTTTCAATAACAACGTGATGTAAGTCATAATTTTTTATAGTAGACGTTTCAGTAACACATCAGTCATTCTACGTCATAAAATTTCACACTAATAGTCACTACAATCTGAAGAGTGTCGAAAGCTTAAACCCATGCAGTTATAGGATATGAGTAGGACTCGTTGTATGAACATTTGATGGGAGGGAACCGCAGGCGTTCATTACCGTGAAATCAGTGTGGAGATCTACTGCACTCCACTGTACTCAGCATAAAGCGTGAACAAGATCTAGATTTTCAACACTAATACCAGTCAAGTCAGTGCTTCTATGTGATGCTTGACAGACTTGGTGCTTCATGAAAAGCATTCCCAACAAATTGCAGACATACATCATCAACAGCTGTCGTCCACGCTCCATACTGACAATGAAGATCAAATGACAAGAAAGAACTGGTAACAAGGAAGTCACTGTGGCTGGCAACGGACCAACAAATAACCCATCGCCCAACAAATATGTAGAAGAAAGTCGAGATGCATTGGATTGCGCATACACTGAGAAAACCATTCGGGGACATCACGCAGCAGGCCAGGCCAGGCCAGGCCCTCGAGTCCAATCCAAATGGGAAAGGACGAGTTGGGTGTCCGAGGATGACATAGACGAGATCGTGTGAGGAAGAAATGAAAGGTTATGGGCAGTCATGGCGCCAGGTTAAGAAGACTGGAGAGAAAAGAATGCAATGAAGGCGTGATACTGAAGCCCTATGTTCCACTAGGAACCCAAGGGTCAAATAATGATAATAATAATAATAGTAAAAACAGACTACGTCTGTACACCTTAAATTTCAATACTCAAGTCTTTGAAGTATATCTTATTTCCCATTGTGAAAGCTCCTATGAAGTAGATCACTGAATGCAAATCAGGTATGGAAGAGTTTATAAACTCGTATAAGAAAAAGGAATTTCAAAGAATACTTAAGAAGAACACTATATGGCTAGAAGTAGTAACTGTATTTAGCGAGAAAAGAAAACACAGGAACCACTAATGTTTCTTTTTGATGGTATTGTGTTCTATGAGCTGAATTGTTTAATCGTAGAGCTTACCTTGTCATTCTAGAGAACAATACCATTGAAACAAATATTCTCCATCATCTCAGAATCCTACTAGCGTTAAGCGCTTCTGATTGTTCGGAAATGAGACAACTTCGTCAAGAGGGAGGCCTCCCCAAACGAACAATTATATTTTACCCATGGGTGTCTACGCCTGTGTGTCCTACCAACTACTGTCAGATACAAACCACCTACCGCCTGTCCAATAGGCTGGAAATTACTGTCAAGGAGTGGAAGACACATGATACAACTGATGTTCACCGATGCCTACTATACAATTCGGAAATATCAACAAATGGTAGGAAGCCTGAAGAGAAAGCTCCAGGGGATACTCACAATAGAACACTACAACGTTGGCCAAACCAAGCAGACGACGCAAAGAACAGAGAAGAAAACTTGTCAAAATCTCGAAACTTCGGGCATCAGAAGAGGAAGAAACGATTGACTGAGCAGTCAACTTATCCAAACAGTCCCTCATCACATCCGAGGAATTCCTCCTTCAGAAAGGGTTAAATCACATTACAGAAGAAGCCTCGGGACCAGAATTCTTCGCATCCCCACAGTTATCCCCGAAAACTTCAGAACTAAGCTCTGACACCCAACAGTAATCGTATTTATGACCAGGCGGAAGCGAACTTGCACTCAAATAACTAGTGAAGACCAGAGAGCTCTTAGAAAACTAAAAAATAAAAACAATGTCATCGTAATTCCAGCTGACAAACGGCGCACTACAGTAGTCATAGATAAAGACGATTACATCAAAAAGGCAGAAGACTTGCTCATAGACCAAAATGTATGTCAACCAATGGAGAAGAACCCAATTCAAAAGTGTAACTAAATCACAAAAATCTTAAACAAACTCATCAAAGCGGGACGAATTACAAAACAAGAGCAGTGGCGAGTGAAATCCAGTGAACCTGTTCTCCCACGTTTCTATGGTAGACTCTTCTTTCTAAAGTTTGTGCTGATTATGTTGTCTAGAGTGACAACGTAAGCTCCACGATTAAACAGTCCACCACAAAGAACACAACATCATCAAATTGTCCTCTTGAGCTACAAGTATTCTTCGTCATCTCAAAAGCGCTTGTGTACTTATGTACCTAGGCTTATGTCATATGCATACAATGAATGGTGCAAACTAGAGGTGAGTAGAATAAGGTTGATATATACAAGGTGTTGGTTAATAGTCAAGTTTTTGGTTTAATAAGTAACAGCTTATTTCACCAGCCGTTGTAATGTTCTCATTGAATAGGAACTTTGAGGGTAATCTACAGTCAGTCCAGTATATATAATATAAGAACTGATTGACAGACAGCATTAGATACATTCTATCATACTGAAGTTAGAAAATTTTAAAATATCACCAAAAACGTCTACTATTAGTTTGCTATGATTTGAGCAGTAATCTAACAGGAGAAAAGGAAAGAATGTGTGCATGAAAAAACTACTGGTAAGTAATGTTGAGAAGTGGCCTTAATTTATAAACTCTTTTTTAATTGTGTAGGTGTATGTTATGCGTGACTATGTGAGTAAATTGCTGTTAAACTTTACCTGTACTATTAATTACAATTGAATGACAAGAACCCGAACGACTTAATCCATTTTGACTTGGTGGTGATGAAATCACTTGATCATAATGATGATGATGATGCAATGGATCAACTTCTAAATGACATCCATTATGATTTGATAGTGATCTAGAGCGTATGCCTAAAAAAATTCATTTCATACATATATTTATGAATAATAAAATGAAGGATAGATGAAGGAGGGTCATGTAAAAATTCCTTGAAGTAAGCATAAACGCTAGAAATTCCAAAGATAGTTACTCCCTTTGAAAAATATAAGTAGTTGTGTTTAAGTAGGCAGCTTTGAAGAACAAACATCTCAGAAGGCGATCACATTTGATGCATAAGAAATAAGTAGGGTAAATATAACATTCTACTACTGACATTTCACAACAGGTACAAGTGTGTATATGAAAGCTGATAGATACTATAGACAGTGTGTAGACAGTTGTGTATTCAAAGACTGTGAATATAATGTTAAATTCAGGAATATTGGATATTGGTTCAAAATGAATTTGGAGAGAAAGTCACTTCATTAAAAGTTATCATCTAACTTCACTGAAAAGAACTAAAATCTCAAAAACTACTTGGAAATTCAGCTGTTTCAATAACAACGTGATGTAAGTCATAATTTTTTATAGTAGACGTTTCAGTAACACATCAGTCATTCTACGTCATAAAATTTCACACTAATAGTCACTACAATCTGAAGAGTGTCGAAAGCTTAAACCCATGCAGTTATAGGATATGAGTAGGACTCGTTGTATGAACATTTGATGGGAGGGAACCGCAGGCGTTCATTACCGTGAAATCAGTGTGGAGATCTACTGCACTCCACTGTACTCAGCATAAAGCGTGAACAAGATCTAGATTTTCAACACTAATACCAGTCAAGTCAGTGCTTCTATGTGATGCTTGACAGACTTGGTGCTTCATGAAAAGCATTCCCAACAAATTGCAGACATACATCATCAACAGCTGTCGTCCACGCTCCATACTGACAATGAAGATCAAATGACAAGAAAGAACTGGTAACAAGGAAGTCACTGTGGCTGGCAACGGACCAACAAATAACCCATCGCCCAACAAATATGTAGAAGAAAGTCGAGATGCATTGGATTGCGCATACACTGAGAAAACCATTCGGGGACATCACGCAGCAGGCCAGGCCAGGCCAGGCCCTCGAGTCCAATCCAAATGGGAAAGGACGAGTTGGGTGTCCGAGGATGACATAGACGAGATCGTGTGAGGAAGAAACGAAAGGTTATGGGCAGTCATGGCGCCAGGTTAAGAAGACTGGAGAGAAAAGAATGCAATGAAGGCGTGATACTGAAGCCCTATGTTCCACTAGGAACCCAAGGGTCAAATAATGATAATAATAATAATAGTAAAAACAGACTACGTCTGTACACCTTAAATTTCAATACTCAAGTCTTTGAAGTATATCTTATTTCCCATTGTGAAAGCTCCTATGAAGTAGATCACTGAATGCAAATCAGGTATGGAAGAGTTTATAAACTCGTATAAGAAAAAGGAATTTCAAAGAATACTTAAGAAGAACACTATATGGCTAGAAGTAGTAACTGTATTTAGCGAGAAAAGAAAACACAGGAACCACTAATGTTTCTTTTTGATGGTATTGTGTTCTATGAGCTGAATTGTTTAATCGTAGAGCTTACCTTGTCATTCTAGAGAACAATACCATTGAAACAAATATTCTCCATCATCTCAGAATCCCACTAGCGTTAAGCGCTTCTGATTGTTCGGAAATGAGACAACTTCGTCAAGAGGGAGGCCTCCCCAAACGAACAATTATATTTTACCCATGGGTGTCTACGCCTGTGTGTCCTACCAACTACTGTCAGATACAAACCACCTACCGCCTGTCCAATAGGCTGGAAATTACTGTCAAGGAGTGGAAGACACATGATACAACTGATGTTCACCGATGCCTACTATACAATTCGGAAATATCAACAAATGGTAGGAAGCCTGAAGAGAAAGCTCCAGGGGATACTCACAATAGAACACTACAACGTTGGCCAAACCAAGCAGACGACGCAAAGAACAGAGAAGAAAACTTGTCAAAATCTCGAAACTTCGGGCATCAGAAGAGGAAGAAACGATTGACTGAGCAGTCAACTTATCCAAACAGTCCCTCATCACATCCGAGGAATTCCTCCTTCAGAAAGGGTTAAATCACATTACAGAAGAAGCCTCGGGACCAGAATTCTTCGCATCCCCACAGTTATCCCCGAAAACTTCAGAACTAAGCTCTGACACCCAACAGTAATCGTATTTATGACCAGGCGGAAGCGAACTTGCACTCAAATAACTAGTGAAGACCAGAGAGCTCTTAGAAAACTAAAAAATAAAAACAATGTCATCGTAATTCCAGCTGACAAACGGCGCACTACAGTAGTCATAGATAAAGACGATTACATCAAAAAGGCAGAAGACTTGCTCATAGACCAAAATGTATGTCAACCAATGGAGAAGAACCCAATTCAAAAGTGTAACTAAATCACAAAAATCTTAAACAAACTCATCAAAGCGGGACGAATTACAAAACAAGAGCAGTGGCGAGTGAAATCCAGTGAACCTGTTCTCCCACGTTTCTATGGTAGACTCTTCTTTCTAAAGTTTGTGCTGATTATGTTGTCTAGAGTGACAACGTAAGCTCCACGATTAAACAGTCCACCACAAAGAACACAACATCATCAAATTGTCCTCTTGAGCTACAGGTATTCTTCGTCATCTCAAAAGCGCTTGTGTATTTATGTACCTAGGCTTATGTCATATGCATACAATGAATGGTGCAAACTAGAGGTGAGTAGAATAAGGTTGATATATACAAGGTGTTGGTTAATAGTCAAGTTTTTGGTTTAATAAGTAACAGCTCATTTCACCAGCCGTTGTAATGTTCTCATTGAATAGGAACTTTGAGGGTAATCTACAGTCAGTCCAGTATATATAATATAAGAACTGATTGACAGACAGCATTAGATACATTCTATCATACTGAAGTTAGAAAATTTTAAAATATCACCAAAAACGTCTACTATTAGTTTGCTATGATTTGAGCAGTAATCTAACAGGAGAAAAGGAAAGAATGTGTGCATGAAAAAACTACTGGTAAGTAATGTTGAGAAGTGGCCTTAATTTATAAACTCTTTTTTAATTGTGTAGGTGTATGTTATGCGTGACTATGTGAGTAAATTGCTGTTAAACTTTACCTGTACTATTAATTACAATTGAATGACAAGAACCCGAACGACTTAATCCATTTTGACTTGGTGGTGATGAAATCACTTGATCATAATGATGATGATGATGCAATGGATCAACTTCTAAATGACATCCATTATGATTTGATAGTGATCTAGAGCGTATGCCTAAAAAAATTCATTTCATACATATATTTATGAATAATAAAATGAAGGATAGATGAAGGAGGGTCATGTAAAAATTCCTTGAAGTAAGCATAAACGCTAGAAATTCCAAAGATAGTTACTCCCTTTGAAAAATATAAGTAGTTGTGTTTAAGTAGGCAGCTTTGAAGAACAAACATCTCAGAAGGCGATCACATTTGATGCATAAGAAATAAGTAGGGTAAATATAACATTCTACTACTGACATTTCACAACAGGTACAAGTGTGTATATGAAAGCTGATAGATACTATAGACAGTGTGTAGACAGTTGTGTATTCAAAGACTGTGAATATAATGTTAAATTCAGGAATATTGGATATTGGTTCAAAATGAATTTGGAGAGAAAGTCACTTCATTAAAAGTTATCATCTAACTTCACTGAAAAGAACTAAAATCTCAAAAACTACTTGGAAATTCAGCTGTTTCAATAACAACGTGATGTAAGTCATAATTTTTTATAGTAGACGTTTCAGTAACACATCAGTCATTCTACGTCATAAAATTTCACACTAATAGTCACTACAATCTGAAGAGTGTCGAAAGCTTAAACCCATGCAGTTATAGGATATGAGTAGGACTCGTTGTATGAACATTTGATGGGAGGGAACCGCAGGCGTTCATTACCGTGAAATCAGTGTGGAGATCTACTGCACTCCACTGTACTCAGCATAAAGCGTGAACAAGATCTAGATTTTCAACACTAATACCAGTCAAGTCAGTGCTTCTATGTGATGCTTGACAGACTTGGTGCTTCATGAAAAGCATTCCCAACAAATTGCAGACATACATCATCAACAGCTGTCGTCCACGCTCCATACTGACAATGAAGATCAAATGACAAGAAAGAACTGGTAACAAGGAAGTCACTGTGGCTGGCAACGGACCAACAAATAACCCATCGCCCAACAAATATGTAGAAGAAAGTCGAGATGCATTGGATTGCGCATACACTGAGAAAACCATTCGGGGACATCACGCAGCAGGCCAGGCCAGGCCAGGCCCTCGAGTCCAATCCAAATGGGAAAGGACGAGTTGGGTGTCCGAGGATGACATAGACGAGATCGTGTGAGGAAGAAACGAAAGGTTATGGGCAGTCATGGCGCCAGGTTAAGAAGACTGGAGAGAAAAGAATGCAATGAAGGCGTGATACTGAAGCCCTATGTTCCACTAGGAACCCAAGGGTCAAATAATGATAATAATAATAATAGTAAAAACAGACTACGTCTGTACACCTTAAATTTCAATACTCAAGTCTTTGAAGTATATCTTATTTCCCATTGTGAAAGCTCCTATGAAGTAGATCACTGAATGCAAATCAGGTATGGAAGAGTTTATAAACTCGTATAAGAAAAAGGAATTTCAAAGAATACTTAAGAAGAACACTATATGGCTAGAAGTAGTAACTGTATTTAGCGAGAAAAGAAAACACAGGAACCACTAATGTTTCTTTTTGATGGTATTGTGTTCTATGAGCTGAATTGTTTAATCGTAGAGCTTACCTTGTCATTCTAGAGAACAATACCATTGAAACAAATATTCTCCATCATCTCAGAATCCCACTAGCGTTAAGCGCTTCTGATTGTTCGGAAATGAGACAACTTCGTCAAGAGGGAGGCCTCCCCAAACGAACAATTATATTTTACCCATGGGTGTCTACGCCTGTGTGTCCTACCAACTACTGTCAGATACAAACCACCTACCGCCTGTCCAATAGGCTGGAAATTACTGTCAAGGAGTGGAAGACACATGATACAACTGATGTTCACCGATGCCTACTATACAATTCGGAAATATCAACAAATGGTAGGAAGCCTGAAGAGAAAGCTCCAGGGGATACTCACAATAGAACACTACAACGTTGGCCAAACCAAGCAGACGACGCAAAGAACAGAGAAGAAAACTTGTCAAAATCTCGAAACTTCGGGCATCAGAAGAGGAAGAAACGATTGACTGAGCAGTCAACTTATCCAAACAGTCCCTCATCACATCCGAGGAATTCCTCCTTCAGAAAGGGTTAAATCACATTACAGAAGAAGCCTCGGGACCAGAATTCTTCGCATCCCCACAGTTATCCCCGAAAACTTCAGAACTAAGCTCTGACACCCAACAGTAATCGTATTTATGACCAGGCGGAAGCGAACTTGCACTCAAATAACTAGTGAAGACCAGAGAGCTCTTAGAAAACTAAAAAATAAAAACAATGTCATCGTAATTCCAGCTGACAAACGGCGCACTACAGTAGTCATAGATAAAGACGATTACATCAAAAAGGCAGAAGACTTGCTCATAGACCAAAATGTATGTCAACCAATGGAGAAGAACCCAATTCAAAAGTGTAACTAAATCACAAAAATCTTAAACAAACTCATCAAAGCGGGACGAATTACAAAACAAGAGCAGTGGCGAGTGAAATCCAGTGAACCTGTTCTCCCACGTTTCTATGGTAGACTCTTCTTTCTAAAGTTTGTGCTGATTATGTTGTCTAGAGTGACAACGTAAGCTCCACGATTAAACAGTCCACCACAAAGAACACAACATCATCAAATTGTCCTCTTGAGCTACAGGTATTCTTCGTCATCTCAAAAGCGCTTGTGTATTTATGTACCTAGGCTTATGTCATATGCATACAATGAATGGTGCAAACTAGAGGTGAGTAGAATAAGGTTGATATATACAAGGTGTTGGTTAATAGTCAAGTTTTTGGTTTAATAAGTAACAGCTCATTTCACCAGCCGTTGTAATGTTCTCATTGAATAGGAACTTTGAGGGTAATCTACAGTCAGTCCAGTATATATAATATAAGAACTGATTGACAGACAGCATTAGATACATTCTATCATACTGAAGTTAGAAAATTTTAAAATATCACCAAAAACGTCTACTATTAGTTTGCTATGATTTGAGCAGTAATCTAACAGGAGAAAAGGAAAGAATGTGTGCATGAAAAAACTACTGGTAAGTAATGTTGAGAAGTGGCCTTAATTTATAAACTCTTTTTTAATTGTGTAGGTGTATGTTATGCGTGACTATGTGAGTAAATTGCTGTTAAACTTTACCTGTACTATTAATTACAATTGAATGACAAGAACCCGAACGACTTAATCCATTTTGACTTGGTGGTGATGAAATCACTTGATCATAATGATGATGATGATGCAATGGATCAACTTCTAAATGACATCCATTATGATTTGATAGTGATCTAGAGCGTATGCCTAAAAAAATTCATTTCATACATATATTTATGAATAATAAAATGAAGGATAGATGAAGGAGGGTCATGTAAAAATTCCTTGAAGTAAGCATAAACGCTAGAAATTCCAAAGATAGTTACTCCCTTTGAAAAATATAAGTAGTTGTGTTTAAGTAGGCAGCTTTGAAGAACAAACATCTCAGAAGGCGATCACATTTGATGCATAAGAAATAAGTAGGGTAAATATAACATTCTACTACTGACATTTCACAACAGGTACAAGTGTGTATATGAAAGCTGATAGATACTATAGACAGTTGTGTATTCAAAGACTGTGAATACAATGTTAAATTCAGGAATATTGGATATTGGTTCAAAATGAATTTGGAGAGAAAGTCACTTCATTAAAAGTTATCATCTAACTTCACTGAAAAGAACTAAAATCTCAAAAACTACTTGGAAATTCAGCTGTTTCAATAACAACGTGATGTAAGTCATAATTTTTTATAGTAGACGTTTCAGTAACACATCAGTCATTCTACGTCATAAAATTTCACACTAATAGTCACTACAATCTGAAGAGTGTCGAAAGCTTAAACCCATGCAGTTATAGGATATGAGTAGGACTCATTGTATGAATATTTGGTGTAGGGAATAAGAGATTGGTCTACTAGATTAGTCGAGGACTCTTATTGCTCTCTATTTGGATCTGGTGAAAGTGTTTTGTTAGAATTGGATCTGGAAGGCGAAGATATTGCTTTTAGTAATTTTTTTTACAGGGATGATGAGTGATGATGGCCGCTCCTCATATTAATACTTAAACAAAGTCTGTAGTCAAGCTAACTTGAAATTACTGTAAGGAAAAATATTCAGTGAATACTGTTTGAGTAACAAGACGCATTCTTAGATAGGCAGTATTTCATTGTCAAAATATATTGATTAATCGTTTTATTTGTGGATGGTAAGGGAAGGTTCATGAAATAAATGTAAGGAATTGATGATGAAATACATCTTAACCGAAACTAGATGCTCAGCGATCTCATATTTCTTCTAATTCCATGAGAAACAAATTCCGAGGATCTTAGATATTCCTACAAATTGTGTCGGATTACTGTGCAGATCGAATTGCTATGTTGTGTGTAAGAAAGTTCCATCCTATCGATTTCTGTTTTCAAGAAAATTACTGGATCCTTTATTTTCTTGTTCATACTTCACAGAATCTGCTAAGTTACACTTTTAGACACAATAAATGAAATTGAAAATCACTAAAAATACAACAATTATATCAATAAAGCTAACCTGCGGAACTTGGAAAAGTGTGTGGTGAAGTACAGTGATTATTAATTCCAAATCTATTAGGTGGTGGAGTAACCGATGATCCATAGTGATTGTTATATGGTGCTGAACCAGTACGCACCTCTGAATTATAAAAACAAAGTGGAAATCACGTGAAATTAATATACATTTCAGAGAATTTTGTTTCTTGTACTTAGTCTAATATTTATATAAGAATGAAAAAGACTGCTGATACCAGGAATACTCATTGATTGGAGAAACGTTTATTTAATATACTGGATACTAGGAAACTACCTGAGATAGTTGATGTTTTGTCAGGGTTATCGATACAGTGTGATGACTGAACGTGGTATAAAAACCTGGTTCGTGGTAGCATTCAAACCAACAGCCTTTGGATTACCGATCAAGCGCTTTATCACCTGAGGTAAGTACTTAACTGCTGACTAGGTCTTAACCGCACTTTAGCCACCGAGGGTTTTGCCCGGATGAAATGTGAATCATGATACGTAACTGTCTATTCATCGTAATCACACTGGCTATCCAAAAAGAACAATTGCACTCAATCTTCTTGAGCACATCTGTACAGTAGGCAATGAGTCACACTTGCTATTTGAGGCTTAGTGATACTACCTGGCCACCCATACCTCAGGTGGAGGAGCGAGGCTCGAATCCATGACCCAATGGTTGGAAGCCGTCTCTTTAAACCACTGAGCCACAGCTCCCAGTGGTTGCCCAGTCAGGTCTTTTCATCCAATCCAAATAAAGATGAATTAGAAGGGGAGAGCATCGTACTGATTAGTGAGACTATCTCAGCCGTGGTTTGAAATACTGGAGTTATTGATGTCATCGGCTACTATTTCAAAACCTGTCACGATCCAGGCTTTCATTTCACCTTCAATCATTACGCAATCCTGATAAATTGAGGGCTTTTCACGAAATCTTCAAAGAATTACTAAAAGCAGTTCAGTGTCAGTTAAAGAAATGTTGAGTATTAAGGACTATTAGGCAAATATCAAAAACTATATTGAAAATAACCAGTGATATAAATGAACGGTGTCTTCAGATACTGACCTATAACGCATACCGTACCACAAATTATCTTGCCTTATAAACGTGGGTCAGCAATTAAGAAGTAGAGATTGATATTGTAGTTTGACCTATCATACCAACGGGAAATTACAACCATCAAAAAACAACGACCAATATCTGTTGCACAAGGGGTGGTTCTCGTGACCCAGCAGCCTAGTGGGTAACGCTTTGGGATTTGAAGCGATGGGTACTGGGTTTCAGTTCCAGTGAGAACGATACCACTCACTGAATCCAGCCGATGAGTCCCTAATAGAATGAAACGTGCGTCCTGGATTCCACTGCTAGCCACTATCTATCATTCATATGAAAACTATTGTTTGTTTACGGTTCCCTGCAACCGTAGCTACTTCACTGTAGTGGTTGAGCTCATCTCCACCCACTGTGATCCATCCTAGTTACTGGCTGAAACATCTGTTCATTGAGATTCTATCACGTTAATAAGGTTTGCTGAAGAATAGCGGGATCAGAAAATGTCAGGTCTAAAAATCAAGTTGTGCTGTTTACTAAACTAACAACAGCAGGTTTTCACAGAATAACTGCTCATTTTAGTTGATACTTGCAGCAAATCAATATTTTACCACAGTGTCAAAGGTTTACTCATAGTTACAACTGTGTTGTCCCTTAAGATCAAATCAATTTTATCTCATAGAGTTTAGCAGTTTTCCATAAAGTTTTCAGATCATGGAAACAACAGAATAGGATCTAAATGAAACATATTTAAAAGGTTGTGAGTAATCAATATCTTTGAGACGTCTCTTGGACTCTGTGGTGATGCTTCAAAGTTGATAAGACCGTTGAGACAGATGCAACCGGAAAGCTTTAGTCGCTTTAACAATTACTCCAACAATCTACATTTCTTCTCATCATTATTAACCACCTACAGTGTTATTTTGAAAAATCCATGTTTCTGTCGACCATAAGTTTTACATAATATTCAACTTCTTTCAATTCTGTGGCCCATATTAGTGAATGGAATCCATGACGTGACAGTCATTTTCTCTTGGAACTCTGCATTGAAATACATGGCTATGATTCTTCGACATTCATAATAGAGTAAAGTGTGATTATTCGTGTTAACTAATCTCGTCCTCATTCTAGCAGTAAACTTAGCAGCAAAAACTACAGTTCCTGACCGATTATCAGTTATCAATTGACTGCTTCCTCGGTTGGGAACTGGGTTATGGGAGACTGATTGATTCAAAGTACTCATCAATCAGTTTTATCCACTGAAGAATTATTCAAACACAAAAGCACGGGATAGCTATTTCGCGTTATTTTCCAATTTCTTAGCAGTGACCTCCCATATCTTTGTAGAGGGATAAAGCCCACGGCTTAACGGCTTATAGTGAGCATTGTTGCTATTCAACTACTGAGGCAGAATCCAGCTTTTCAGTGCTTTCAATTTCTGTCAGTTTGTGATATACTGAAACTATCATGCATCTATCAAAGTGTCTCACAATGTTGAGCCAACTAACCCAGTGACTCCACTGCAAAACGTTCGGTAGGATTCGACTAGCACTTAAAACTAGATAGCAGTGACCAATGAATGAGCTTAATACAGTTCTACAGGAGGCAACTCACGGCCCGAAGAGCCCAATAGTAACATCTCTGTCCGCATTGCTGTGCAACGCGGGTTCGAATCTCATGTGGTTTATGAGGTACGTAGAGGTTGAAGATACGCCTTGCTGAGGAGTACCAAAAAGGCTTCATACCGATTGCTTCTATCCAACTAATACCAGATTTCACTGAAAAATATGTAGCACTAGTACGCAGTGAATGCTACAGAAGTACAAAAGTTGACGCAATAGGTATTTATTGGCCAGGTGCTAGAATTTATTCAATGGACTGGTGTGAGGAAATTGGCAGTCAGTGTGTTTAGAACAGAGATTTGATTAAGTACAGAGTTTTATGCAAAAGAGAGTCAAACAATGTGGTTGAGAAATTCCATTGATTGGGGGTGCCTAGGATGTGTTTAATGTATATTGAATCAAAAGACTATCAAAATGCAAATGTTAGTTCAAGTAGGAGTAAGTTGTAAAAGATTGATAACGGTTATGTCAACTATCTAACTATTGTTTCGATTGGTGTGAAGGAATTTCAGCTTCTTAGTTGGAGTGCCATAGACAATCATGACCAATAACTGGCATCTCTATTTTATATTATCTAGCACTAATCAGTATGAGAAATGAATTACCAAATTTTCTTCTGATTCCACATATTTCTCTTCTCTCTTTTATTACCTTTTCTTGGGTTGAATTCAATCGAGGTGTTTTTATGATTTATTACTTGATACGTTAAGCGACAATGGTACACGTATATCATTCTATCTATATATAATATATCTAACCCAGAAATGATATGACAAAGTGTTGTCTATCTAATGATAATTAGTTAGTCAAGTACGAAACGAAAGGTCAGTGAGCTGTCGTTTCCAAAAGTAGTCAAGAATAACTTGATCGGTTTGATAAATTTTCAGTTCATATAGTAGTATTGATGAGAGATTGCTCAGAATAGCGAATTCTATATTAGCATGGGGATTAAAATACACAACACTGTACAACTTTGCATAATAAGACGTTGATCCCAGATGATGCATCATGTAGCTGCATGAAGACAGAGAATTAAAAGAAGTATATTTGAATACAACACAGAATATAGATGAGGAAGAAGACTGAAACAGTGTAAAATCTGAGCATACCTGGAAACGGTCATCATTTGAAGACACGAACTACTGATTCCTAAAACGTCAGATTCTCGAATACAATAGCCTACAATATCCTGCACAACTAAAACCATCAGTCATGGACTTCGTGTGTCCACAGACCAGTGAATTCACTATTTATGAATGGATATATAATTTGAATATTGAATCAGTCTCTAATGGATGTAAATTTTATATGGTGAAAGAGATTGTCTCGTTCTATATAGAGAGGGAATTGGATCGACTGTTCCTTTCCTTGAGGTGCTGATTACGAAACGTAACAATGGAACGCTGAAGAGATCTATCTACAGAAAACCCGCATGGAATGAATAGTTTACTAATTTCTACAGTTGAGTGATGGTCATGACTAAAAGAAACAACATTCACTCACTCTGCTATCGAACATGTAATATTTGTAGGGGAAACTGTGTGCAAGTTGAACTCTTTGGAGTTTTTAAGAGGTAGGCTTGCTCAAAACGGCTATCCTAACCGATTCGCTGATAAAAATATGCGAGAATGACAGGCGAAATCAGTCATCAGCTCAGTTTCCAAAGAGGCTTTGAGAATGAATCTGAAATTTAAGAGTGATGCAGCATCAGAAATTTTGAAAAATTGTCTTTCGAGAACAATTGGCAAGACGTTTTTCTTAGCCAAAGTTCATTTGACCTTTACCAGTCGTAAATTGTTAGCTATACGTGTTAAACATTACATACTTCGACGGGCAACCTTCATGTGTATCTACTAGTTTATTTGCTCCTGTGGAGCAAGGTATGTTGGACATAGACAAAAATCGATGTCGACATGTATACCAGAACATATTTCAGCCTGGTTTTATAAAGGTGAAAGGAAATGCATTGCGAAGTTCTACCCTTGAACATTTAACCATTTCCAACCATTCAACCGTGCCGAACAATGATTTTAAGGTTGTTTATTGAATTCACTCAAATATCTCACACCCCTTCCCCTTTGTTGCAGCAATCTTTGTACTTTTATATCGCCATTATCATTTTTATTTTTACATTTAATAGTTTCCGCTGATACTTCATTTAACCTTCCAAATAATTGCAACTTTAAAAAAAAGTTTTCCATTTATTCCAATTAACTTGTCACATGGATATTACCTATTGCTTTAATTATTTATTAACTCCATCACGTTTTCACCTCTTTGTTACCTATACTCACCTTATAAACGATTTTCAAGGGTCATAGGTAACCTCTTTTGTTATTATTCAACCTTTACGTCGTGAACTACCACTATTATTATTTCAACCTCCCATCATTTTAGATAAATTGTCCTCACGGATCGCAGTCTTTAAGTATTATATATATATAT